ACAACAACGACGACTACTACTTCTACTACGACTAGAGTATTTTCCTCGGGATTCCATCCGCCTCCTCCTCCTCCTCCTCCTTCTCATACTTCTCATCATCATCATCATCATCATCATCGTCGTCGTCATCGTCACCATCATCATCATCATCATCATCATCATTGTCTTCGTCGTCATCATCATCACTACCATCATCATCATGACTCGTCGTCGCCATGGTGAGTGTCATCGGCATCGTTCTCACTTCACCTCCATCTTGATCTGCACCTTCGTCACATTCCTCATCGAAATTATCACCATCGTCGCCATCTTTACCGTCTTCGCGGTTTTCACCATCATCTTCCTCACCCTCTTCTCCGTTATAAGTTTTCTTATTCTTCACCACCACGGTCATCTTTATGCTCGTCCTCGCCACCATCGCCATCATCCTCAAAGTAGTCATGCAGCCTGTCGGAAGCTTGCCGGTGGGACGGGCAGAGGGAGCGCACGGGGTGTCTCTGAGAGACTGAGGAGTCGATCTCGGGAGTAATGGCCTGGATACTGACGATCGTCTCCGGTGAGCTTCCTCTCGCCTTTCAGTCAGCTGGCGAAAAGTCGGCTGAAGTGCTTCAGCTTTCGGTGCGGGGTACAGTCGGGCCAGTAGTCCAGGGATTTTGTCTAAAGACCTTCTCGCAACGGATAGCTAGTTCAAACTACAGCGCTCGCCACTGATTACTGATGCGACAGAGCTGCATCCAGCCAGGATGACAAACAGAGCAGCTACCCGACCAGATGAGCATAGCTACCTGCATGGCACAGCAGTCTTCAGGTTCATTCGCTCGCATCCAGAGATAACTTTCTTCCTCTCGCTCTTCGGCTGCATTCTTGTTCAGATGTGGGCCCCTTCTTAAGCTTTTTCCGCGCACAGATGGCGAACTACTGCCAAGCCTGGCTTCCTGCTTCAGTTTGAGTGGTGGGCCTATCTATCCAATCTTGACAACTGTTCCGCAATCATGGTAAGAAATCTGACGCAGCATGTGATGGTGGTCGCATACCCGGAAGTTGACCTCTGCATGAGATGCGCGAAAGAGTAAAGAACGTCGCAGGGTATGAACAGGATGGACAGGCTCAGTTACTGTTGCTTGGTGTGACATTGCGAGGCCAGAATTCGTTGCCGTGTCTACTATTGCTGCGAGCTGCCTTCACCATGCTCGTCTCAGGATCTTTGCTATGACGGCGGCGGTTGGAGCCTTCAGCTGTGTGCTGACTGTTCGACTGTGGCTTGTCGATGAAGGAAAGTGGTTGTGGAAAAGTGCCTTTGGACACCGGGATCGCCGGTTTGTACATAACAGTTCTTCGGGCATTAGCATCATTAGATGGCAGTGTGAGAAACCTGCTCTCGGAACAGGTCTAGGGCATGTCAGATGTGCCGGTTTTGGGAAACGAGAGGCAGGTTCCGGCCACGTAACCGATATGCAAAGGAAACCGACAGGATGGAGCATCAGGATTCCAACGCAAACACAGTTTCACGCACCCCCGAGACGGCACGAGCTGTCGTGCTGACCAAGAGTGAGTTTCTGTCGAAAGTAAGGCCTCCGAAGATCCAATCAACCTCTTTCAATGCTTGCAGAAGCCAAGGTTTGGACCAGCGGTGTTTACTCTTATCATGACATCCCGCGCCATCATGAGCCTCTTGCTGTCGGTGCCTGTGCTGCCATATCTGGCTTTCGTTCTGGCTTGTCGCAGGAGACTTCTTAGGTCGGCGTTAGCCTAAGAGCTGCACTGGACTGGATGAATGCCACGAAGGTTAAGTTACGGACCATGCTTGAAGTTAGGTGTGCGAGGGAGAGGGTTCTTCCGATACTGTGAGGTGGACTCTCCCTGGTCTGCTCAGGGTTCAACGCTAAACTAGGCTACTAGAGGGACTTTCATGCAGGGAAGCTTCTTCTTCCATCCGAGTGTGATTGGGTCAACTGTTGCGATCCCAGGTGATTTGCTTCCAGCACGAGGTGGCTTGGGCTGCTTGGCAAGAACGGCAAGCTAGGCATGCTTCGTCACAAGGAAGCCGAGCTAGCAATGCATCCATTCCTCCAATCCTAGGAAGAGTGCCTATGCCTCATCGTTGTGTCACTGGTCATGCTGATCTCCTCAACACGTCGAGTATCGGTGGCAGCCTCAGTACATTCAACAGAGGGCCGACGCAGCTCATTTGCCCACCGAACTCTCCTCCCGACCATAAAGTCGCCACAATAGGGCAAACCTGGACCCTGAAGGGGAGAGAGACCCCTGCTTGCCTTTCGAAGGCGCAGCTTCGCCAGCTGGACCTGTCCAAGCACGATGACCGCCTTTCTCTGACGGGCCAGGGTGGTTAAATTCAGTTAGCTTTGTGCCCTTGCTGACAGCTTGGCTCATGGCATGTTGGCACTCTTTTTAAACTGCTGGTGCAGCCTGAACAATTCGAGAGGCTTAGTGCATGTGCCTTGCTCACGGTGAGCAGGAAAGCTTCGGCAGTTTGTTTGTCAGTGATAGACTGTAACTCCTGCCTCAAGACACCAGGCTGGTGCCTGAACTAGGGCATCCGAGATCAGCTCCTGCCTTTGCTGGGAGGTGTCAAAATGGCCCCATGAAAGTGTCAGAAGTGGAAGCCAAGCCGAGCCAGGGGCCGGTGGCCCCTCCGGTTATTCGAAAAACCCTGAATGCTCATGCGCCCTCCAGTGGCCAGGCTGTGCGTCCGAAGGAGGCGGTGGCGGGTTGGCAGCCCAAGGACTTAGGCGGCTTCTATTCTAGATCCACGTGCCCGAAGATCGGTGCGCCAATCTGGTCTTGAACCAGAGTTGCCCCCCGCCCCCCGCCCCCCCCCCC